CCATGGTTGGGAAATGCATTATGGGCTAACAATGTGCTGTCCTAGTTACCCAACATGACCGTGGACTCAAAAAGAATCTTTGTCTCTAAAGACCTGAGCGCAACTCTGCGATGTCACTAGTCTACATACCAGAAGAGGTGCGATGGATGTAATTGTTGAATTCAGTTCAGGGCTTCCTTGGTCCAAATAAATGATGGCTTCAATGGGAAGAGGCCCTGAACATTCAGCTCCGTTGAACGTGAAATACCAACGCTGGCAGCACGCACTTCTGCACTTTAGCCGGAGCGAGCCACTGAACAGGACTCGGAGCGCGCTGTTCGAGCGCATCTTCGTGAATGTGCACTCCTGCCACACACACAGACATGGGGGTCCGTTAGCATTCCCAAGTTTATTCAAAAAGATGCTTTCAAACTGGACTGTGACTCTTAACTACCCTTTACCCCAAGCTACACTCAAAAGTCTAAACTTTGTAGAGGGAAGAAGATTTTCTGCAGGACAGGAAAGAGATTCTGAGATGAAGAACTCTTTACAAAATCAAGTTATGGCATCCTTAGAATTACTCACCCCACTGAAGGTCTTTCATTTTTACCAAAAACAGCTAGTCTTCAGAATTGAGACCAAACCAACCTCTATATCTATTTTTTTTATTATTCCAAAAATATTTCCTGAGCCCTATCTGCTGGATACTATAGATACAGCAGTACACAAGACAGATTCTCTGCCCTCATGGAACTCACATTCTAGACTAGTACTGTGCATATATATTTATTCTTGACCTATTTCTATTTGATCAGCAGCATACAGTATCACAGGTTCAAGCCTAGGTGGGGTTTTTAGTCTTTAACTGTGTGACACAATGATAAGGCCCACATTTCCCCCCCCTCTAATTGGTCTTTGCAAAATTCATCAGTCAATTGGTTCATGGTCCTATCTTTTACTTGCAGAAGGCTCCCAAACCTTTCTGGCCACTGATAAAAGGAAGTTGAAAACACATTAATAATTCAGAGACCATAGGGAGAGCTTTTGGAGAGAACTCAACTACAACTTAAGAACTGGTCAATGTCCAGTTTAAAGAAGTAGGCAATATTTAAACAAAATGTTTTTTTAAGAAATCACAAATGAAACTAAAAATGCTCACAGTCACCAAAACCATGGAAGAACTTTTATGGAAATTCTATCACATGAAAATCAAATCAAGACAGTGGCAAAGTTTTTTATAGACAACACTAGAGGCCCGGTGCATGAATTTGTGCACCAGTGGGGTCCCTTGGCCTGGCCTGTGGGATTGGGCCAAAACCAGCTCTCCAACATCCCCTGAGAGGTCCCAGATTGCAAGAGGGTGCAGGTCAGGCCGAGGGATCCCTCCGGTGCATGATCAAGGCCAGGGAGAGACACGGGAGGTTGGCCAGCCAGGGAGGGACCAAGGGAAGGCTCCAAGGCATGTCCGACCTGTCTCGCTCAGTCCCTATCCGCCACACCCCAGCAGCAAGTTAACCTACCAGTCAGAGTGTCTGCCCCCTGGTGGCCAGTGCATGTCATAGCAAGCGGTTGAGCTGCCTTAGCATATCATTAGCATGTTATGCTTTGATTGGTTGAACGGCTAACTGGTCAACCAGATGACTGGACACTTAGCATATTAGACTTTTATTATATAGGATAGCAGACATTTAACAGCTGAGATAAGGATCGGGGCTAACACATAAAGATTAAAACCTTAGAGTTGTATGAAAATAAAGTCTCTTCTATCTGCCTAGTGATAGTAGTGGTTAATATCATGAAGTAATATATTGTCGATATGGAACCATGTACAGAGTTAGTTAACAAAGGAAGAAAGGCTTAGAAATAGCACCAACTTCTTCAACTCTATGAATCCCAGTGGACTTGCCAGTTACTTTAGGAAAGCAAACACTGATCAAAGTGACTGAGTCATTAATCAAAATGCATTGCCGGCCAGGCTATTTTGAGTAACTTGGCCCCTCAGTGTTGCAGAATAATGTACAATGGTCACTGTAGTCCCTCTCTGGTCCATCCCGCTTCTCTCAGGCTGAGCAATGGTAAGCTAGGCCTCTACCCAGAATAAGGGCAAATACCAAGGGCCTTGCCACTGCCAGATGATTCCCATCATGTGGTAAACTTCTTAGAAATTCTTCCCACTGCTATGTCTGGAGCCACAGCAGGGTTTTTTCGACTAACTTAAATCTACTTCAGGATAGATTGGAAAGTTGCTTACTGTCCAATCTTGTGAACAAAGACATGCATGCTCTCCCTTTTTATTTGCATTTTAAAAAATAGAGTAAGTTATTTGAGGTTTTTAGGGTTAAATATCTTAGAAATATTTTTATAAAATTAACTCTGAGATGTTACCAATTTTTCTCATTAATTTTAAGTTAAAGTTACATGGTACCTCCTTAATTTTTAAAAAAATATTTTGGTAAAAGCAAATAACACAAAATCTCACTAAAATGAACATTCAATTATGAAAACCCTTAATTTGTGTGTGTGTGTGTGTGTTGTTGTTGTTTTTGTTTTGTTAATCCTCATCTGAGGATATTTTTTTCCATTGATTTTTTAAAATATATTTTTATTGATTTCAGAGAGGAAGGGAGAGGGAGAGAGAGAGAGAGATAGAAACATCAATGATGAGAGGGAATCATTGATTGGCTGTCTCCTGCACGCCCGCTACTGGGGATCAAGCCCACAACCCGGGCATGTGCCCTAGGCTGGAATCGAACCCAAGACCCTTCAGACTGCAGGCCGACACTCTATCCACTGAGCCAAACCAGCTAGGGCTCCATTGATATTTAGTAAAAGGCGAAAGATTTATACGGTCTGAAGAGAAACCAGAGCATTCCATTGATATTTAGAGAAAATATAAGGGAGGGAGGTGAGAGGAGGGAGGGGGAGGGAGGGAAAGAGAGAGAGAGAGAAACATTGATGTGAGAGAGACACATCTATTGGTTGCCTCCTGCACCCGCCTGAACCATGGCTGGGAATCAAACCTTTAACCCAGGCATATGCCCGGGACTGTGAATCGAACCTGCAACCCTTCGGTGCGTGGGCCGATACTCTGACGACTGTACACTACCAGCCAGGGCTGAAAACCCTTAGGTTTTGCTTCAACTTCAGAATAATCCTGATTTTACTTACCGCAATTTTTCCAAGATCGATGCCATAATTCAGCGAATTCCACGAGCACTGCTTGTAGTTGGGTGTCCAGGACTCCTCGAAGGTTTCCCGCAGGCACTCCCCCTTTTCTCCTTTGAATCCATCCCGACCTGGGATCCCAGGGGTACCAGGAATGCCATTGGCCCCAGGGCTCCCGTCTCGACCAGGTACACCCGCAGGCCCTTGTAAGCACATTCCGTTATACTAGATCGGTGGGAAGAGGAAAGGAAGAGAAGCTGTCACCACTCCAAGATTCAAAGACTCGATCTGATTAGAAATGCATTTATTCTGAGTCCTTGGAGGCCAGAATCCTTTCATACCCCTTGCTCATGTTCTAGACGAGTTATTATAGAGAACTGACTTTCAAGTTATTTCTAACATACTGTGATTTCTTTAAATTGCACAGACTTCACATTTTTTACGTGGAGGACGTGTCACGGGGTAACCCTTCTGAGCGCCACCCCACTCCTCCTCCCTGAGAGGGAGCAAATGACCTTATTTGTGACTACTAGCCTCCAACAGGTGGCAGTGATCTCTCAAACATCTTGAGGATTCTCTGTTTTCCTTGGCAGGGAGGGCAGGGGCATGTCTCGCAGAAGTTAAGTACATGGATTCTAGAGCCTGGTTCTCTGGATTTTAATCCTAACTCCACCACCACTAGCTCTGTGAGATAGAGCAAGCTGCTCCAGGTTGCAGTGCCTGCTTCCTTCTCAGTAAAATGGGGGAAATAACAAAGGTTCTTACCTTGTAGGGTTTGTATGAGATGTGAAATGATATACAACGTGTGCTTAGAGGTGCCTGGTACACAGTAAACACTGCGTATGTCAGCTACGGTCACTCCCATTATTCCCCCAGAGCATGTGAGGCAGTGACCTGGGCAAGTGTGACCACTCCGTAGGGTGGACCTTACCAGGGTCTAGATCTGGAGAAGACAGCATTAGCGAACCCTCCAGTTAACACACAAAAGCCACACACACCAATGCAGTTACATCAGTGGGAAAGGTGGTATTTCGATCCCCATCTGTCTTATTCTGTCTTATTCCTGAATGGGTCCACTTATTAGCCCCTCCAAATCTAGACCCAATCCACTTACATTTTTACTTTAACATTTTCCCATTTGTGTAGACCAGTGGTTCTCAACCTTCCTAATGCCGCGACCCTTTAATACAGTTCCTCATGTTGTGGTGACCCCCAACCATAAAATTACTTTCGTTGCTACTTCATAACTGTAATGTTGCTACTGTTATGAATCGTCATGTAAATATCTGATATGCAGGATGTCTTTTCATTGTTACAAATTGAACATAATTAAAGCATAGTGATTAATCACAAAAACAGTATGTAATTATATATGTGTTTTCCGATGGTCTTAGGCGACCCCTGTGAAAGGGTCGTTCGACCCCCAAAGGAGTCGCGACCCACAGGTTGAGAACCGCTGGTATAGACTGTCACAATCCACAATTCTATACAAATATACTATCATTCTATATCAATATATTGTCCAAGCCGAACAAAACACCAGGTTCCTTATATATTAAAATAACTTCAAAGCTTATCTTTTACGTTCCCCCTCTGGGAATAGACATGGTCGTATTCTAAAATCCAATAACGACACCTTATGTCTCTAATGTTCGCCCATCAATTTGCTTTTCACACCACCAATTTAATTTTTGTTTTGACAGGTGATTTTTGTGACGTTGACGAGTGCTCTTTTTCTGATTGCAATGGGAAAAGGACACTGCTACTTATTTACTGCCAGAGAAATAGTAAGAAAAGCAACAAAACTGCAAAAGTATTAGAAAACATGCTAAAGTATAAAATAGTCTCAAACAGTGTAGTTAATTGTAGACAATTTTCATTACAGTAATTTCATTCACTGACAGTAGCAGATACACATAATGTTTGGACGCAGATTTCTAGTGAAAGAGGAGAATCAATGACTCCTGGGATTCTTTGATTTCTTGGTTGCCACAACTTGGAAGGAGAGATTGCTCTTAGCATCGACAAGGAGTAGAGGCTAGGGATGATGCTAAAAATGCTACAATGCACAGGGCAGTCCTCACAACAAAGAATCATCTGCCCCAAAATGTCTAACTGCCATGGTGGAGAATTTTTATTCACCTTTTAATCTAAAAATTGCATTTCCGAGACCACATCATTTTATTGAATTTGGTTTCACAGGTACCACACCAGTCTTCTTGCACTTTAAAATGCTAACTCAGCCCACCTTTAGCACGTACCAGGGCGGGGTAAGATAAACATCTGTGCAATGAGCCCCTGTTTCTTTCACTGGACTGGCCACCAGGGGGCAGAACTTGCTGGAAGCTTGAAAGAAATGCTTTGAAAGATCCTGTACAAAGAAGTTACTTTAGAGTCTGTTGAAACTTTCTATGTGGACCTCTCTCCCCTCCCTCCCTCCCCTTCTCCCCCTTCAGCAAAGCCAAATCCAAGCTACAGGATGCACCTGAGCCTGGCTGCGCAGTAAGCTTTTCCAAGTCGGGCTAGAGTTGTGGGAAACCGCAGGTTCTGTAAGTCTTTGGAGGGAAAGAAAAAAATTGCTAGCTTGATGGGGGAAAGGGTTATGTTGCAGATCATAACTACAAATTCACAAAAT